CCTGAGCACTTTTAGTTMGATGGTTCTGGAGGTTTAATGGATTTGGGAAAAGGTTTGGTTCTTTTTTTTTTTTTTTTTCCCTCTCCCTTTTTTCTGCAAGGAAGATTCCCATGGAGTATTTTGGTGTTAAACAGAGTATATAGCACTTGCAATGCTTAATGTGTTTAGAGTTGTCTTGACAAACTTGAGCAGGACCTAAGAGGGATGAAATATATGCGTAACTGGGGATATGCCACCATCTAGTCTTGTAAGTAACATACACGCTAAAACACTGACAAACATCTCCCAAAGCCAAGAGCACCTTCTTGCTTAAAGTCTTTGGGTTTAAATGTAACACCAGTAGTTACAATGGTCAGCCAAGAGACAACAATTACTTAACAAATACTGCATTTAAAAAAAAAAAAAAAAAAAAAAAAACCTCAGCAAAACACTTTGAATATGCTTGTAGGCTTCTGCAGGGAAACAGAATTGGATTCATTGCAACTATGAATTCTGCTTGAATCTCTTATTGCATTTGGTTGTCTCACCCTTTGATAACTTTGATAGGAGGGTGTTTTATCCATAATTAATTAATGTGAGCTTGCATCACTKTATCTGTTCTGCCCAGTTGGGGCCGTGTTGCTGATGGCTGTGTAGCTGGTAATGCAAAGAGCCTTGGGCACGGTGCCTATCGGGTGTCAGTAGAGCACTGATTAATATGCTTGGGAATAGGCAGAGGAAGGTTGCTTCACCAGCAGATCGTCCCAAGTCACTCCGCTGATCTGTCAGTTTCATGACCCAGATTTCTGTAGGTGCAAATGTGTCTTGGCGAGGCAAGAGGGTCCCACCAGCTTCGCTGTGCACGTGCCAAATGCCAAGCRCATAAAAGCATCATTTTGTATTTCAGTGTAAACAGAACAGTGTGTACTCCCAGCCCTTTCCTGTTATTCTAATTAAAGTTCAGCTCCCCAGGCAATCAGCAGATATTTTCTGGAATTAGTAAAAGGTTTTTGATTTAGCAAAGATTCTGGGTTAATACTGTGACTCTTAAGTGGAGCATGAAAATCTATGAAAGTCTCATCTAAACTTCATTATGCTATGAGACTTCACAAGTTGGAGTGCAGGCTTTTACTACACACAGTAATATAAAATACTGTTTTTTTTTAAGTTGGATTCTAGTTTGCAATTTATTTTTTTATTTTTTTATTTTTTTTTTTTTTTTTTGCTGACTCCTGAAGTACCTTGTTCTTGAAAACATTCGCTGTTCTGGCCTGACTGTGGTATCAGAGATTAACCTAATCTGTTTGTAATGCAGCACAGTAAATAGTGCCGTAGCACAGGCTGCTTGCCAAGGAAATGTTTTATTATGGTTTGACCTTAAAAGTCAGAGAGGAGGAGTATGGGGGCTCTGTGGCTCAGAGGCACCAGCCTCTGGGGGCCCATCATGTTGGGGAGGGATGCAATGGGAGCGCCCTTCGCATTCCCTGAAACTCTGTCTGGCATCTTGGCTGCTTCAGGGGTCTTCCTAGCTCCAGGAAGAGACATCTGAGGTACATCAGCAAACAATTTCCAGGCATGCTCTGCCTGAGAAGCTTTACAGTACCAAAGGGAAAAATCACTGTGTAATGTTCCAGTTTAATTTCAACTTTCCTTGAAGMGAAGCTGTTTGGTCTGATGTTGTCCAAAAAAACACCATAGAACAGGCTGCTGCAGTATTTAATGTGTCGTACCAGCAGTGTCAAAAATGGATAAATTCTAAAGTCTCTGCCCCAGGCAGGATGTTATAAATTAATATTGCTTATAGATATGCTTGTATTTCACTAGTCCAATTTCATTAATCTCAGATTAAGAGGAATAACTGCTGTCATTAAGAAGAAAAACTGAGGTGGTTTACAGGGAGTGTTGCTAAGTTTTACCCCACTAGTAATCTGTTTGTAATCAAAAATAAAGTGTAGCAAGTTGACATGAGATCTGAGATATATCACAAAACCTCAACAGGTTTTATTCTTCAATCTGTGCTCTTCTAGGCTGAAAACATTTTAAATTCCCCAGGAGATAAACATGTAAAACTGCTACAAGGTGCTCACAAATTGCCTGCCTTTGCCTGGCTCCAGGGAAAGGCCTGTGACCTCCATTAAAATTRCACTCTTCTGTAGTTAGTTTTGTTGCAGCTCTGCTCTGTACATGGAGGTTGAACCTGTGTTTCCTGGAGAAAGRTAAATGAAACAAAACAGAAATTTTCAACTAACATACTTTCAGCTTACATGAACTGTTCTAAGCTGTGGTGGAGTACTCGGGCTTTGGTTGTCAGTTTGAGGGGGTAATGGCATTGTGGATTTTGATTTGGAAGTGAGTGTACCTTGGCCACAGTAATAAATATGTGTGGGGTGAGGAAAATTTCCAGCATAGGTAAGGTGAAATAGAGCAGAGTAGGAGGAATCCTGTTACAAATTMATTTAAAATGTGAGCAGAGATCAAAATCTGTCTCTTAATCACCTCTTCTTGCTGAAATTGCCTCTTTGTCCCTGAATTTCTTTGTCTCTAAAGAGGAGACAGAAGTAGTTGCATTCTTTTTTGTGAATCCAYTGCTTGCATGCAGACAAAATGGGCCACGTAAGGGTAGAGTCCCTTGCTGGAAAAGGGGATTTTTACATAAGCCTGGGATACTGACTGGTTACACTGACTCATTCACTGAAATGAGCCTGGTCTAGGACTTTTGTTCCATAAACTGAATGTACATAGCTGCTCCTGCCTGTAGGAGCACTTTAAATGGAGAACAGCGCTTGCACAGCACTTGTATCTGCGGAGTGTTTGGCTATTAACGTTACACAGAGTCAGACTCTGTTTTCTTCTTTATAAGAATAATATTTCAAACAGGGTATTTTTGTGTAGAAAGAGCCCGAGGGAAGAAACTTGTAACCAGTTCACTTTGCGGTTAATGTGACAGTGTTACTTGGCAAAGCTTTGATATTTTCCTTCTTGCTGCTTCCCGAATTCCTGTTACGTTGCTGATGGGATACATGTTTCTTTTTCTTAATCTCACTAAGGACCTTCTTGTGACAAAGAGTAATGTGAATTTTCAGGCCTGGATTGGCCTGTGGATTCTAGCATCCTACTTAACAGACTTCAAATTGAGTTGCTGTGAGGTTTCACAAATTGAAACTATTTCGGTTTCAATCAATGTTGGCAGCTGCTGATGGAGAGACGAGAGGAGGAAAAAAAAAAAAAAAA